CCCCCCCAGATAATCTCTTTTTTATTATGTTTCTGAAATGTAGGTTTCCTTTTTTATGACATGCTTTCTTATTGTTCAATCAATGAAAAGGCGCAAAATCTTATCCAATCGGCTTTACGTATGCCTATACGGAAAGACGGATATCAACCAGGATTCTTGTCAAACAGGATAGGCAAGTCTTCGATCTTCAAGTATCCAATCAGATTCACGCAAAGAAAAACTTCAACCACTAGGATTCTCGTAAATCAGGGGAAAAAAGCAAGTTTTTTTACGGTGTTGTCCATTGACCAATCAGATTAAGGGCGCGAAATGTTATCCAATCACCATTCAAGCATAATTAGCGATCAACCAATACGATTCATTGTCAATTAAAATCGTTACAGCTGCCAGCTGATCTGTGAGAAAATTTTAATCAATCAGAATTAAGAAAATTTGCAAGAGTGAGGTGTCACTTTTCTGTCCTCTTTGAATCATAGATTTCCTGGCCACGAAATGGAAAAAAAAAAAGTTGCTAATACGCGCTTGATAAACAGTGACACAATAATTAAAGGCCGGGGCACTTGGATGAAAACGCCCCAGTTTTTCAAAGTCCAAATAATTGAAGTATTTGTGGATAATATGACTCAATTATGATTATGTAAACCAGATTAGTGAAAATTTTCGCCTGGGAGCCACTTGCAGTTGAGAATTTTTGGGTTAAAAGACAAAAGAACAATAAGGTTGAGTAAATGACGTCATTTACTCACAATTTATATGCTGCATAAAATTGATAATTTTTATCCGACATATTTTGCTGTGAAGAAAATATGTTGCTTGGCTACTATTGAAGCCATACAGATACTAATGTAAATAAACTAAATTAACTAAAGTTATTTCCAATTTTTATCTATTTTCATCCAAGTGCCCCCTTAATGGGTTTTATATTGTGATTGCAATGTTTATATTTTTCGCTAGTCAATTTTCATAGGCTTCATCACACCATTTATACGTCACTATTTTAGATCAATTGCTGTTTTGTTAGCGCTTTTAGTGGTCCTAGATATCCTGTTTACAGACCTAATGATTCAATAATTGAGGGTCGTTTAAGAAGCAAGTTTATCTTCTCGTAGTGTTGTTGTTCTACATGACATAGATCAATAATGGCGATACGTCTTTGGTCTTACGATTAAGAGTTGCCCTTATAGCAGACATTTGTTTGAAATGTCAGACTTCGAAGATATTGGATGTCGAGTTATCTCATTAAGAATTCTGAATTTTTAATCCATTTTTGACCTTCATGAAAGGTTATTTTCCGTCTCGATAAAGAATAGAGAAAAGGGTTGGAGACAAAAGAGGAACGGCGCGGAAATTGAAGTAATTGATAAACACCTGAGATAATGTAAAGGAAGGGAAAGAGGTAACATAGAAAATATTTGGCAATCTTGAAAGAGGAAAAGACGGAGAAGAAGAAGTAGTGAAGAAAATGAAAAAATTAAAAAAGGAAAGGATAGAGGATCAAATGGGAAAGTCAATAGAACAGAAAAAGTAGGAGAAAGAATAAATGAAATGAAAAAGAGGAAATCGATAAAAAAAGAGGAAAAAAGAAAGAAAGATAGAAAGGAAGAAAGGAAGAAAGGAAGAAAGGAAGAAAGAAAGGAAGAATTTTGCAAAGCATTACTATCTTTTTGCCTAACGTACAAATATTCCATCGTTTTCGTTAATTATTATTTATTCTATTATTATTATTATTATNAAGAAAAAAAGAAAGAAAGAAAGGAAGAAAGAAAGAAAGGAAAAGAAAAATTAAGAAGGAGAAGAAAGTGAAAGAAAGACTGAAAAGAAATAAGAATAAAAAAAAATAAAAAATAAAAAATAAAAAGGAAGTGCAGTGCACAGATACATGAAAAAACAAACAAACAAACAAATAAACAAAAACCAAAACAGAAAAACAGAGGCAAACATCAAGCTAAACATCCCTTCTATTCACTTCATCTTCAATGAATCCACATATCCCTCACACTAGCTTTTTAGATTATATCTCTGATTTAAAGCCATTCATTAACCAGTCGAGTAAAGCTTGTAGAGATAATATTTATGAGATTAATAGGAACCATTCCTTTACTTTTTAATAAATAGACTTCCTCGATTTATTCCGTAGCCAAAAAGGTTTTATCTAGTATATTCTAGCCTTGAATCTCAATTTCCTTATTGTCGACGAAAACTCAGTACTATCTTGTGTAAGCCAATGGTTCTATTTTAGGCTGGAATCGCAACCTTATACGACTACGAACTAGGGGTCGGAGAGATCGTTTCCGTGATTAATGGTATTTTGATGGTATTAGGTTTAGTCTTCAAGCCTAAGAGCCGAAACAGATTCTTCTCGTCTCAATCAGTACGTCGAAGTCTTCGCTAACGGTTCGCGGAACTGTTATTAAAGAGGCCGTGAACTCATTACTTTGGAGATATGAAATACAAAAACCTGAGAAAGCAAAACAAATCGCACTTGCGACCATCCTTCGTTGCTCTGCAGACAACAATTAAAATATAAAGTTTTGACTTTTTGACGCGATGACATCCTGCTACCGTGTTGTTTAGCAAGGTAACCTGCACAACATTGGTGAGTAAATTGGAGCTTATCATTACACTTTATAAATTGATTTTAAGCTTTAGACATTGCTATAATGTTTATAATTATTATGTAATCTAAATTCATTGATAAAAGTCTTTTTGCATGCGCTAAAGATTGGAATTAATTGGTTAAAAAAAGTCAAGTTGGAGTGAAAAGCTTGTGTGATCTCAGTGATGAGAATGAGTAGGTATCTCGAGCCAAATTTGTCTTCAACGCTTTAAAAAATTCAAATTTAAGCTGTAAATTTTCAAGACTTTAGCCTTAAATCTCTCTCGGAACCAAAGCTCTGGGGTGGCTAAGCTTGTTTTATGATCTTTAGTTGAAATGATAGCCTTTATTTTAACAGAGTAATAGCAAAATTATCGTCACCGTTATAATCATAGTTGTACTGTTTAGACGGAAAATTTACTCTAACCCTTTGACATTTTGACGGAAAGCGGCCGTAGCTTCGACTCAATCTGTTTTTCAAATTTACTTTGCGAGCTCTGTGACAGATTTTTTAAAGTTTCCTGGGTGTTGCCTTGAGAATTCACTTGCAACTCGAAGTGAATTCGAAAAACACTTTATTAAAATACGCTCGAAAATAGTCATGGTTAAGCGAGAGAAATAACTTGAAATCAAAAGCAAAAATATTCATTTTAATATTCTACAAAAGGAAACAAAAGCCTGAAAAGCTGTCTGAAAAAATTTATAAAAGTGAGGTAGACGGAAAAAACATGATTCGGAACATGAGTGCAAAAATAGTCTTGCTAGAGTTAAGAGAAAAAGCTTGAAGTCTCAAAGCAAAAGCGTTCTTGGAATACTCTACAAATGTAAAAAAAAAAAAAAAAAAAAAAAAAAAAAAAAAAAAAAAAAAAAAAAAAAAAAAACTTGTACCGAGCCGGCAATAGCTTATTCGACTTCACTTCAGTTTGTTGTTTTAGCGAAGTATACGCAGTTGAATTTTGAGGAAGTTTGCAGTTTTTTAAAAAGCTTTTTTTTCGATGTGTCGCTTTGTAAACATAGAACTGAAGCGGCAATTACCAAAAGGGAATTGCAGGAAGTTCCAGACGAATTCCTGTTGCTAGCAAAAAAAGAAAAACTTTCTTTGTCTAAATACCTGCTTTTTACATTAGGAAGAACTATATACTTATGTTAAAGTTTCTAATGATATATCTCTAAAGAAGAAGTAGAAAACGCGCGCGCGCGCGTGCTGTGTGTAGTTATAAAGCACGGGGGATTGGCAGGAAAACCAATGAAGTGTTAAGCGAAGCACGAAGAGTGCTGACTACCGTGTTTATATTGAAGACTAAGGACTTGTGTAAAATCTTTGGGAAATGTTTTGAAAAGCAATGTAAAACAACACTTGACTACGCCCCGTGTACCTAAGATTGCTTACAGCGCCCAGCGTACATGTTTATATCACAGTACCGGAGTACCGACACATATACAGTCGTTTTATATTGCTTAATAAATCAAACCTCTATCACCTCCATATCACGGGAACAATTTTAGACCGGAGGGGAAGGACTAGTGCACTCGTACATGAATGTCCTGGCCTGCTGTGCTTTACTGTGATGTTGAACGAGAGTTTACTGAATATATCAAAGTAAGCCGACAGCTGTCCTAAATTTTATCCCGTTAAAGAAAGAGATTATGCGCAGACGTCGTCTTTAATTTCATTTAAACATGTTAGACAGCCAATCAGTTTTCAATATTTTAGAAAACTGTACAATCACTATTGAAAACTTTACACGGACAGCTATCAAATGCGGACACACTTATGGTCGGAGTGGAGAGGGTTAGCCATGTACGGACGGAGATCCGAACCTTGATATCATCGGCTAGAGTTTTGTATTCTGGTACAAAGGCTGACGATGGCCTCATGCGACCATGTTTTTTCTTACGGACACCTGTCAAATACGGACACATTTATGGTCGGAGTGGAGAGGGTTAGCCATGTACTCGTACTCACGGAGAAACATTGATATCATAGGCTAGAGTTTTGTAGTCTGGTTACGAAGGCTGACGAAGGCCTCGCCAACCATTTTGTTCTTACAGACACCGGTCTAATATGGACACATTTTTGGTCGGATTGGAGAGGTGTGGCCATTCGTGTACTTGTACTGACGAAGTAATCCTCGATATCATAGGCCGTTGATGTTTTGCTGTCGAAATCACTTTTCGACGACAAGCCATTACCAACTCTGATAACATCCGCACGGATTTTTCACATCAATTAATGCTTCGTTGTCCAGTGCTGACTTTATCGCACTATTTATCAATCCATTCATGTGTTTCGACATCTTTCCGGCCGTATTTTTTAACGTATATTTTACAACCATCACTCTCCTAAGGAAAGCCATTTTACACACACTACCACGGTCAATATTTACAATATAAAATTCTTGTGTTGAAGAAAACTTGAAAACTTAGCGAAAATCCTCCAATAAAGGTAGAGAACGACCTATCAAACAAACGTAACTCACATATATGGCTCCGACAAGAATTAAACCCGCAAAGCCGGGTATTAACTACACAGCGATAGTATGACTTACGAGACGGAAATGATAAACTATTACCTACCTACCTATTACCAGTGCCTATTACACTTCTGACAACGTTGACAGTATTGATTCCGTCACATGGGGTAAAATGATGGATAACCCGAAAAAAATTCATAGTTTGAAGTAATGTTTCAAATGCGAGTTGTTGAATTCTATATTGGGATTTCAAAATCCGAGTGGAATTTCAAATGTCGAGGCGTAGCCGAGAATACAGTGATGAGTATTTGACACGAAATCTTATACTCTTTTTGTTATGTTTGTTTTTGTTTTAAAGTTCTAGTACTTTGAAATATTTCAAAGTCCGAGTAGTAGGACTTTGAAATGAGTGCTGTCGTATTTCATGGGGGTTTCAAACTACTGCACGTGGTACAAATAAGAAACCCTGGTTGGTCGATGAGCTCATGCATAATTAATGAGTATAAGATTACGGCTTCTTTTTCCATGTCATATGTTAATGCTATGAAGTGCTTTGCAATACGTCATTGTTTTCCCCATTTCTCTTATAGAAATGATTTCAAGTTAGTTTTCACATAGTAGCTGGTGTTTAGAATTACAAGGAACAACAAATAACCATAAATGCCTCCTCTTTCGTCAAAGCGTTAGCATATGCCATGGAAAAACCTTTATAACTTCAAGAAGCCGCACTCAAACTATGATTTTTTTTTCTGGGTTATTCAACATCTTACCCCATGTAGAATCAATACTGTGAATATTGTCAGAAGGGTGATGATGAGCGCTAACGATCTAAAGCACAATAACAAATTTTCTATTGTTGAAGAATTACTTACCCTGGTCCCAGAGGTTTCTCGTAGTTTTTTTTCTCTCTGTAAAATGCGAGCTGCGTCGTTACAGAGAAAAAAAACTACGAGAAACCTCTGGGACCAGGGTAAGAATTGCTCAGTTTGATAATGATAATTTACGCATTTATTTTTAAATCAAAATATTAGCCCACAACTGGCGCACCAAATTTAATCATTCAATCTTTAGATTAAGTGTGCTGAATGTCATGGAAAATCATACCTCCAAGCGATATCCGTTTTGATTTTTGTCACTCTTGTTTGCTAGATGTCTGATGTGAGACAAGTTTACCGCGCGCGGTTAGCTAGCATCAATGACTGGTGAATCAATAACTGTATAACTGTGTATATTTAGACTATATCGTATTAAAATTTCACGGACCAAGCCTATTTGAGGAACAAGTCGGCAATAAAGCCTTGATTTTAAATATTCGAGCTCACTGAAAGAAAACCGGCAACCATAATTTTATTTATCTCTCTATTACCCTCAGGTATTAGGATACTAAAGTACGAAAATCAATTCTTACTGAAAGGAATCTGTCTAGAAAAGAAAAATACGACGGTTGGGAAAGTTAAGTGTTGGAAATTGAGCAGACATAAAAAACCTACAAAGAACTGAAGTCAACTGAGCCAAGGTTCAAGCGAAAGTAAGTTGCGTTTTGCCGACAAGGATTGGGTACAATTGTACTTGACTGGCAAACACTTCGGTACACACTGCAGTAAGACTGCGTTTTGTGGTGATTGTAGTGGTATTAATGTTTTTGATGATAGAAGATTACGTAGGTGTGAATCAATGGTGGGGTAATTGTGTTCAATCGCCTCTCATCCGAAGGTTGTTTCAGGGTTCAATCTGTGAGTTAGCCATGC